CATAAGTTTGGATAAATATTTGTCTATCTTGTTGATTTTCTCAAAGAAGCAACTCTTCGTTACATTGATTGTAACATTGTTTTCCTAGTTTCTACTTTATTGATTTCAGCCCTCAATTTGATTATTTCCTGGCGTCTACTCCTCTGGGTTTGCTTCTTTGTGTTCTAGGGTTTTCAGTTTTTTCAGTTTTCAGTTTTCTCCAGTTTCTTCATGTGAGCACTTAGTACTATGAACTTTCCTCTTAGCACTGCTTTCAAAGTGTCCCATAAGTTTGGGTACGTCGTGTCTTTATTCTCATTGAATTCTAGGAAGTTTTTAATTTCTTTTTTTATTTCTTCTTTGACCCAGGAATGGTGCAATTGCTCATTATTCAATTTTCATGAGTTTGTAGGGTTTCTGCAATTTGTGTTGTTGTTGGATTCTAATTTTAATGCATGGTGGTCTGATAAGATACATGAAGTTATTCCAATTTTTTGTACCTGTTGAGGTTTGATATATTGCCAAGTGTGTGGTCAGTTTTTGAGAAGGTTCCATGTGATGCTGAGAAGAAGGTATATTCTTTTGTATTTGGATGGAATGTTCTATAGATGTCTGTTAAACAAAATTAGGTCATAACTTCTATTAGTTCCTTTGCTTCTTTGTTAAGTTTCTGTCTGGTAGTCCTGTCTAGTGGTGAGAGTGAAGTGTTGAAGTCTCCTACTATAAGTGTGTGAGGCTTTATATGTGATTTGAGTTTTAATACTGTTTCTTTTATGAATGTGGATGCCTTTATATTTGGGGCATAGATGTTCAGAATTGAGACTTCATTTTGATGGATTTCTCCTATGATGAGTATGAAATGACCTTCTTCATCTCTTTTGATTGATTTTAGTTTAAAGTCTAATTTGTTAGGATTGCTAACCCTGCTTGTTTCTTGGGTCAATTTGATTGGAAAATCTTTTCCCAACCCTTAACTCTGTGGTAATGTCTGTCTTTGAGGCTGAGGTGTGTTTCTTGTATGCAGCAGAAGGATGAATTCTGTCTTTGAATCCATTCTGTTAGACTGTGTCTTTTTATGGGTGAGTTAAGACCATTCATATTGAGGGATATTAATGGCCGGTGATTACTCATTCTTGTTTGTTTTGGAATGGTTGTTGTTGTTGGAATTGTATGTGGATTTCCACCCCTTTTTTCTTTTGGCTGTTGGTAAGGTGGGATTATCTATTGTCTATGTTTTTCTGTTGTAGTTAACTTTCTTGGGTTGGAGTTTTCCTTCCAGAACTTTTTGTAGGGCTGGGTTAGTAGATATGTATTGTTTAAATCTGATTTTGTCATGGAATATCTTGTTTTATGCATCTATAGTGATTGAAAGCTTTGCTGGGTATAGTAGTCTGGGTTGACATCCGTGGTCTCTTAGTGTTGGTAGAATATCTACCCAGGACTTTCTGACTTTCAGAGTTTCCATGGAGAAGTCAGGTGTAATTCTGATAGGTTTGCCTTTATATGTTATTTGACCTTTTTCCTTAGCTACTCTTAATATTATTTCTTTATTCTGTATATTTGGGGTCTTGATTATTATGTGGCAAGGGGACTTCTTTTTTTGTGGTCTACTCTATTTGGTGTTCTGTAAGCTTCTTATACCTTCATTGGCCTGTCTTTCTATAGGTTGGGAAAGTTTTCTTCTATGATTTTGTTGAATATGTTTTCTGCCCCTTTGAGGTGGTTTTCCTCATCTTCTTCTATACCTATTATTCTTAGGTTTGGTCTTTTCAAGGTGTCCCATATTTCCTGGATATTTTGTGTTAGGGATTTGTTGGACTTACAATTTTCTTTAGTTGATTAATCTATTTCTCCTAGTGTATCTTCAACACCTGAGATTCTCTCTTCCATCTCTTGTATTCTGTTGGTTATGCTTGCATCTGTAGTACCTGACCATTTGCCCAGCTTTTCTATTTCCAGCATTCCTTCAGACTGTGTTTTTTTATTGTCTTTATTTCAGCTTTCAACCCTTGCACTGTTGAATTGTTTCTTGCAATTTTTGCTTTGTTGTTTACTCCCTTTCCTGCATTTGTTGGATTTTTGGCTGTTTCTTCCATTTCTTGCATTTTTGGTTTGTTTTTTCTTCTAACTCTTTAAGTGATTTTCCCATGTCCTCTTTGAGGATCTCCATCATTTTCATGAAGTTCTTTTTAAGGTCATTCTCTTCTGCTTCATTTGCATTGGAATGTTCAAGTCTTGCTGATGCAGAGTCTTTAGACTCTGGTGGTGTCATATTTGCTGAGTGTGTTTTTGTATTGTCTCCTTCCCATCCCTTCTTCTAGTGTGTGCAGAAAGTCTTTTCCTGGCCTGGTGGGTAGGGGACCAGGGTTCCCTTTAGGTGGGTGCAAGCAAGTCCAATACTCTGGTAGTTCTCCTCTTCCTGGTCCTAGTCCTGGTCTCCTGGGTGGAGAAGGAGACTAGGATGCTGGGGTATGTTGGCTCCTGCTGGGAGGGGAGGCTCAGGAGGCACTGGAATGCAGGCCCAGAAACTAGCCCTGGTTTGCCTGGTCCCGTGGGTAGGAGAAACTTTGTCTTTAAGATAACAACATTTTAAATAAGAGAGAACAAGCAAGATATGGTGACACCCACCTTTAGTCCCAGCATTTGGGAAGCAGAGCTGGGTGGATCTCTGTGAGCTCCAGGCCATCTAGAGCTATATAGTGAGACTCTGTCTCAAAAACAAATAAAGGTTGTGTTGATGTCTGTATCTCCTGGGACCATTGAAGGCCTTCCCAATGCCAGGGCTGCCACCTGGGGCCATGTTGGTGTCCGAGGGCCATGCTCCCATAGGGGCCATGCCAATTCAGTGGCCTGCACTGCCACTTGGGACTCTGGTGGCATCTAGGCCCAGGCTGCTGCCTAGGACCATGTCTAGGTCTGTGGTCCTACCACAGCCAGGGTCTGTATTGATGTCCATGGCCACCAAAGACCACACAGATCCCTGGGGTCTGGGCTACCACCTGTGGCCATGAGGGTGCCTGAGGGTCATGCTGCCACCAGGGCCATGCTGATCTGAGTGGCCTGTACTGTCACCAGGGGCCATGGTGTTGTCTGGCCAGAGCTGCTGCTGAGAGCCATGTCTGGGTCTGTGGCCCTACAGCAACCAAGGTCTGAGTTGATGTCCATGGCTCCTGTTACCACTGAGGGCTGTGCACATGACTGGGGTCTGGTCAGCCACCTGGTCCTGCTGTGAGCCGGGAAGATGACCCCACCCATTACCACAGGTGTGCACCTCACTTGGGCTGCATACTAGACCTGACCCTGTGGTCAGGATGTAGATGAGCCAACTCTGTGAGTGCAAGAACAAGAGAGTTGCCCCCCCACCATACCCCCAACAACAGTTGGAAGAGAGGGCCCTGTACCTAGCTTTTTCAAACAGTACAGCTGACCCCAGTGGTGTGAATGTGGGTGAGCTAGATTGGAGAATCCAGGAGCAGGATCCTGGCCCTGCTCCTTGCTGTAGGCTGCATTGGGTGAGCTAACCAGGGCGGTGGGCAGTGCTGGAGAGCACAACTGGGTAGTGACAATGAGGGGAGAGATGGCAGACTGACCAACGAGCTACCACCCTGGCCCAGAACCAGGACTGTGAGTAGGCCAAGCCCAACATCTAGTTATCTATGAACTGTCGAAGCATGCAAACGGGGACATACCTACTGATCTAAAACAGCAGGATCTCCATGACACAGGACAACAACATGATATCAAACATGATATCGGTGGTATAGCAGAGGCCAGGGGCCTCAAGACAGACAATGACTCGTGGCCATGGTCATTTGCAAGTAAAGGGCTAACTTTGTGACTCAATGGGCCACACTACAGCTTCCACAAGATTCTTCTGCTTTTTCTTCCTTTGTTGTTGTTTTGGTTTGGTTGGCTTTTGGTTTCTCTTTTAAATTTTGTTTTGTTTTTGGGGGAGGTTGCAAGGGCAGAGAGTAGATTTCAGGGGGTGGGGAGATAAGTGGGATCAGGATACAGGGCAAGTGACTGTCTCTGTGTCAGCCTCAGTGTCCTCAGTTACAAAATGGAGACAAAAGTTAGCCTATGCTACATGGTCAAGAATCATTATATGTCACCCATTAAACTGGGAAATTGCAACGGATTTTGACTTTGTGGAAGGGTTTTTCACTTTTACAAGGCATCACCGTAGAAGCTTCGAGCTTGACGGTGCATTTGTAACACCTGCGGCCTGTCCAGGGCTTAACCATTACATGCACACAGAGGGAGATATCCGTCCCACAGAGAGAGCTTCCATTCATGTCCAACCCAGAGAAGCTGTCATCGGCAAAGCGGGGATGCCAGCAACAGTGCTGAGCTGTCTGAATAGTAGAGCATTAATGTGAGGATCGCATGGTAGCTGTATAATTTCTTCTCTGGAAAGAGGGAGGTGCTGTGGAGAGAGTGCCATCAAAGTTCAAGGTGACTCTAAGTGCCTTCAAGCAGATTTTTCAGAGGAAAAATTCCAGAGGGCCTGGATTGCAGGGTGGGCAGGGTCAGAGGTCCAGGGCTGTTGGCAGAGGCATCCATTTCTCCATCCATCCATTTACCATGCAATGATGCCTTCTTTTCCAAGTCACAGCAAGATGGCGTCAGAAATCCCAGACAGCAGCACCTGGAAGAGGACTTGCCCTGGTTTCTTTTCCTGCTGCTGTGGTAAAATACTCTGACAAAGCAACTTAAGGGAGAAAGGGGCTTCTTCTGGCCAACAGCTCCAGGTTACAGTCCAATGCGATGGGGAAGTCAAGGAGCTTGAAGAATATGTCCACCATGTGAGATGAAGTCAGAGGGCCATGCTGAGCCAGCCCCACCCTTCCCTGGACCAGGGAACGCCGTCCTTGCCTCTCACTGGACACTACACCAAGACAGCTGGCCCCTGCACATTGGAGAGCTGGCCCCACCCTACACCAGAGTCAATGAATGGACCCTGATGGCATAAGAGCTGACTCCACCCCCTCACTCCAGCCCCAGTAGCCTGGACTCACCAGCTTAGTTACTACCCAGCCCACAGTCAGGCCTTGGGTTGGCTTACCCTAGCATCTACCCCATCTAGGACCTGCTGGAGCTGTGAAGGGACTGGCCCTGTGAAACAATACCCGCAGGATCTCCAAGACTCAGTATGGCAGCAAGATATCCCAGAGGAGTTCCCGTGAGGATCCGGTGATGATGGTGTACCAGAAACCAGAGGCCTGGAACCAGACCAGTGACTCACTGCAAGAAGCATTCGCTAGTTAAGCTGATAGGACAAAAGCGTGCCCTGTGCGACACAGCGAGACCTCCAGTGCCACCAGGACAGATGAAGAGGTGTTGGAGAGGTGAGAAATAAGAATTGAAGAGGGTTTTTTTTCTTTTCTTTGGGGGTTTAGTTTTGTTCTCATTTTTGTTTGTTTGCTTTGCTTTGTTTGGGGGGGAGTGCAGCAGGTCTGTGGGGGGGGGCCAGAGGTGAGTAGAATTGGAGTGCATGCTGTGAAACTCACAAAGAATCAATAAAGAAGCGAAATTAAAAATATATGAAAGTTTTTAAAAAGGGAGAGAATATGTACTCACATCACATCCACTGCCATGCAGGACAGGGAGATGAACTTGTATTTTTTCTGCTCGATTCCCTTTTTCCAGTTACACAGTCCAGGAACCCCTGCCCAGAGAAGAGTCCCGCCCATGGCAGGTGAGTTTTCCCACCTCTATTAACTCAACCAACCTAAGCAGAGCACAGTCATTCTTAGGATGCCCATCCCCCAGGTGATTCTAGATCTGTCAGGCTAACAACACTAACCATCACAAGGACCAAGAGCTGCTCTAGCTCGCTTCCAGGAAGCAGAAAGCTTTGGCTCCCTTCTGCCTAGCTCACTACTCTTGACCTGGTGACTGTACAGTTGTGTGGGGATGGAGTGGGAGAGAAGACAGAAAGAGAGGGAGTTCTGTGGGCAGAGGCACCGCCTTACCCAATCTGGATTCTCTTGAAAGGGAATGTCGAGCTGGGTTCCCCGGGCAAAGCTTAAACTTCATCTTCCTTGTCTATGTGTTCAACATAGCATGGGCAAGGGGGACCAAGACAATGACCTTTATCACACTAATATTTACTGTTGGGGACTGAAACCCAAGAGTGGGAAATCTGGGCATCTGTCAGTAGGGAACATGCACTGAAGGCCTTGGGTCAGGGCCCAGGGATGGAGGGTTTCTCCATAACCTGCTCACCTCTAGTCCAAGGCCGTCGTTCTGGTGTTGTTATCTTTGCCCTGAATTCAGGCCTGGTGGCTTCTACTAGATTAATGGTTCTCAACCGGTAGGTCACAACCCCTTTGCCAATTAACTCTAAAAGATATGTACATCATGATTCATAACAGTAGCAGAATTATAGTTATGAGGTGATGACAAAAATAATTTCGTGGTTGGGGTCACCACAACTTGAGGAAATATATTAAAGGGTCACAGCATTAGGAAGGTTGAGAACCACTACCCTAGACTGGAGAAGCCTACTTCAGAAGGTGGCAGGCGTATGCAGGCAGAGGTCAGTATGTGGAGATGTGGGTGGGGAACGACTGGGCTGGTGGGCAGCAATTGGAGCTGTCTTCACCATTCCTTTGACTGACCTAGCCCAGGCACAGCCCTTCTTGGCATGGCCCCAGGTGGCCAGGATGTGCACCACTTGGATATGAATTTTTCATGAACTCTTCATAGGCTCAAGGATGTCCTTCATCACTTGCAGAAGTCTTCTAGATCTTTCCTTTTTGTCTCCTGGGTCATTCTTCTGGGAACGCCTTTGGAATCACTGCGGTTTGAAAGCAACAACGATAACTAGTGCAATAAATACAATTAAGAACAGTCACTTTGTTTCTAGAGTCCAAGGACCTGGAGCTGTGCCTGACTCGCCCTGCCTCATCTGACCCTCGAAGCAGCCCAGTGGGACAGGTGATGTCACCATGCCCATGTCATAGATGGGGAAGTTGAAAGACAGAGAAAGATTTCTCTGAAGTAACACAGTGATTCTGGGGAGAAAAATCCACCCCAGGGAAGCAGCAGCCTCCTCCTAAAAAGTGCTCAGAGCAATGTGCTGCTCCCGACTGTTCTTAGCACATGGTCTCTAGAGGTGAGGCAGAGGTGAGTGTGAGTGTGTGCTGAGCTTTCTTAGGGCTCACAATAGGTATGAGAAGAGCCGATTCAACGGGGGAGTATCCCTGTTAGATGTCCCCCTCCTGCTGGTGCATGGACAAGGGAACAGATGTGGATGAAGCGCACCCTTGCCTAGGGAGCTCCGACTCCAGCAAAGGCCACGCTGGCCTCCAGTTCTTTTCCTCATGCTGTGGGGCCTGTGGTTGGTCCCTGGCTGTGAAGAGCAGAACCACAGAGACCGGCGCCTTTAATGTGGTGGCTCAGTGTCATGTTCCTGGCTCTGGCCTCTGCATGGTCAGTGCCCACGGCTGACCATAAGGGGCTGTGGCTGAGAAAGTGGCCCACACCGCTCATATTCCACGCTATTGAGGCTGCACGAGCAAGCCACAGTGGCCTATTTTAAATTTTTAGTAGCCCCTTCTAAAAAGTACAAAGAAACAGGTAACGTTTATTTTTGAAATATATTTTGCTTAACCTAATATATATCTAAGAATACTTTCAGTGTATAACCAATATAAATCCCCCCTTTTTTGCAGTTCAGCCCGTGTTTTCACAACACATTTCATTCAACTTGTAGCTGAAAATCAACAATAAAGTAACTGCTACAGATGAGCACGTCCCCCGGTCACCATACGCTAGAACTTAACCCCTTGTGTAGCGGTGTGGAAGTAGGAGCTCTTACAAGCAGGCACAATACCTGTACACATAAAACAGAATCAAAGCTTTCAAAAGAAAAGGTTCGCAGAGGAGAGGAACACCTTGAAGATGAGGCGTGCCATCGCCAGCCAGCAGAAGTTGACAATGATGGATGGAGAGCAGTCACAGAACCTCTCACAAAACCACACGAGAAGCTGCAGCCAACTCCATGTGGGCTACTTGACAATTGCTTGGTATTAGAAGCCAATGGGAAGGGTGATAAAGGTGGACAGGTGGGCTCCTCAAGAGCTGGTTAAAACAAACAAAATTGTCATCTTGAACTGTCATCCTTTTATCATACGAACCAACAATGAGCCGTTTCCCAGTCATAGTGTGAGAGGCAACAGAAGCTGGAACGGATACTACTGACTGTGACCAGCTCAGTAGCTAGGCTGAGGAGACACCCTGAAGCCAAACAAAGGTCATTGTGATAACAACACGGATGAGCGAGTGAGCATCTCGGCAGCAGGATACAGACCCCTTTGGGAATATGCCCAGGAACGGTACAGGGTCAGGTGGTAGCCTGCTTCTAGCTTCTCCAGGGACCAGCCTGGATGAGAAGGCCCCCATGGGCTCGTGTATTTGAATGCTTGGTTCTCAGTTGGTGGAAGGATTAGGAGGTTGGAAGAGGCGGTGGTGTCACCTCAAAAGACTTGTGCCAATTCCCACTGTTCCTTCTTGCTCTCTCTCCCTCCCCTTCTTCCTCTCCTCTCTCCCTCTCTGCCTCCCACCTGCAGATCAAGATGGGAGCTCCCAGCAGCTGCTGGACCTGTTCATGTCTCTGTGCCTTTGCTCTGCCACCCTGTACTCCAGCCCCCTAAAACTGGAAGCCCAATGAAACCCTTTCTTTTTTCTAAGTTTCCCTAGTCATGGTGTTTTGTCACAGCAATAAAAAAGATACTAATAGCTAATACAATATCTATCAACTGAAGAATACATAATAAAAATATGGCACAGACACACAATGGAGTTTCATTCCCCTGTAAAGGGAAATGAAAGTATAGCATTTGAAGATAAGTGGCTGGAAGTGGAAAATTTTATACTGATTAAGGTAACCCAAGTCCAGAAAGACAAAAGACCCGTCATATATGGATTTTAGCTTAGAAACTCTAGGTTTTGTGTGTTTAACTTGGAGTATCATATGGGAAACTAGACAAAGATCACTGAAGGCTGGGGAACACTTTAGAGAATAGTGGAACGTATGTGGGGGGACACCTTAGAGGGTATGAGAACATAGATGAAAGTGGAGACGGGGAACCCTGGATGGGAAGATGAGAGCATGGCAGAGTCCAGATCTCACTTACTAAATGGCCTATAACACTCTGTGTAGTCATCTCCGAGAAATACAAATGTGTGTTTGCACAGAAAGCTCTACAGTGTTACAGAAGTTTCTTTCCTGTCCAGTCCCACAGATGTTCAGTCCCAAACAAATACACAGAGGCTTCTAGTAATTATAAACTGTTTAGCCTATGGCTCAGGCTTCTTATTGGCTAGCTCTCTCTTAGTTATTAACCCATTGTATGCCATGTAGCTGCCGAGGAAGAAAGAGGCCCAGGCATCACTGGTAAGCCAAGTCTATGTGGAAATACATAGATTAATAGAAATTGGGTTAATAATTAAGAGAGAGCTAGCCAATAAGAACCAATAAGAAGCCTGAGCCATAGGCCAAACAGTTTATAATTAATAGAAGCCTCTGTGTGTTTATTTAGGACTAAAGGGCTATGGGCCTGGATGGGAAAGAAACTTGCGCCAATACTATAGAGTCATTTGTAGTAGCTTTTTGTAATAGGAATAATAATAAGAACTTTAAATTATAAAAAAGTCCTAAGATAGAGGAAGGTTTGTTAGGTGTGGTACAGTTATGCCATGGATGGCTATTCGGCAATCAAAAGGAAGAATGAATGGGTAAGCCTCAAGATCATTATGCATATATGTGTATGTGTGTGAGACTTATTCTTAAAGATTATTATTTTATTATATATATATACACATATGTGTGTGTGTGTGTGTGTGTGTGTGTGTAGGTTTGTGCACATGAGTGCAAAGAGGACATCAAGTCCCCTGGAGTCATAGATTGTTGTGACCTGGCCAACATGGCTGCTAAGAACCCAACTTGGGTTCCCTGCAAGAGCAGCGGCACTCTTAACCCCCGAGCCAGCTCACCAGCCCCAAGATGGCATTCTGTAATTGTTTTTAAACAAGATGGTGAAGAATAAAAAGAAAGACAGAGGTAATGTAAGTTTGTAGCAATGGGAGCTTGGTTAAATGAGCTGATCTGTGCTCGAATAGAGAGGGAGGCAGTTAGAATGACCAAGGCGAACCCCAGGATAGAGAAAATCACAGCCGTGGGAAGCAAGGCAGGGTGCACCTGCAGCTGGGTCGTGTGGGTGCCCGACAGACACAGAAGGGCAGCGGCAGTGGCCCTGGCTGGGTGACTTGTGATGATGTACTTGTGCTGTTTTCAGAACCAGGGAGAAGATGCTATTTTTATTTAGGAAAAACCTTGAGTCTCTCTGATGGTGCTCGCCTCTGGTGCTCATCTGTTGGTGCTCATCCGGTGGTGCTCGTCTCTGGTGCTCATCTGGTGGTGCTCGTCTCTGGTGCTCATCTGGTGGTATTCATCTCTGGTGCTCATCCGGTGGTGCTCATCTGGTGGTGCTCATCCGGTGGTGCTCATCTGGTGGTATTCATCTCTGGTGCTCATCCGGTAGTGCTCATCTGGTGGTGCTCCTCTCTAGTGCTCATCCAGTGGTACTCATCCAGTGGTGCTCGTCTCTGGTGCTCATGTCTGGTGCTCATCTGCTGATGCTCATCTGTAATCTCAGAGATGGAGTACCAACCAATACAAGTTCAAGTCCAGTGTAGTTTACATAGCACAGTGTTTCTCGATCTGTGGGTCTTGACCCCTTTTTGGGCAGTTGACCAACCCTTTCACAGGGGCACCTAAGACCATTGGAAAACACAGATATTTACATTATGATTCATAACAGTAGCAAAATTATACGTATGAAGTAGCAGCAAAAATAATTTTATGGCTAGGGGTCACCACACACAAGAAGCTGTATTAAAGGGTAGCAGCATTAGGAAGGTTGAGAAACACTGACACAGCAAGGTCCAGGTAAGTTGGGGCTACATAGCAAGGCCCCGTCTCAACACGAGACACCCATGAGTGCGGAGGACGCTGCGGAAGGGCTGCAGACAGTCGCCGTGCATTCTGCCCTGATGGCAGCACCAGGCCTAGGCAGAGGGAGCCATACTGCTGCTCTCCTCCCATGGGGAGGGACCGTGGCATACTTGGTTTGCTTTCTGCCAGGATCCCAATAAAAGAAGGTAGAATCACTCTTAGCAAAGCAAGAAGAGAGTGAAGCACCTGGTGTGTTACATTGTGCTAAACGTGTGGGAGCCAAGGGGCTGCATCAGTGACAACAGGCGGTTAAATCTGGGTAGAGACCAAGATGTGCTCACTCTTCTGCAAACGCAAACACTCACACTTCCTCTCTCTCTCTCTCTCTCTCTCTCTCTCTCTCTCTCTCTCTCTCTCTCTCTCTCTCTCTCTCTCTCTCTCTCTCTCTCTCTCTCTCTCTCTCTCTCCCTGCTTTGTCAGCACTCGAGAAACACTGCTTAGTGGTTCTGTATTTGCAGCCACGAGCTCAGCATACCTTCATGGGGGCGTCTCTCTGTCAGAAGGGCCTGCTGCAGATGGGTCAGCAGGCACTGTACAAAGGCCAGGGTGGCCTCTAAGACTCTCATGACTGTCCTGACCACAATCAATGTAGTTCCCTGGCTTCATATTCATTTTTCTCTAGACACTGTCATAGTTGTTTGCAACTACTTCTAAAGGAGGTTGGGCTCCCCATTTTACAGACAGGGAAACTGAGGTCCAGCAGGGAGAACCAGTCCAAGGCTACACGGTGTTCCAGATGGAGCCGGTTTGAGCCCCAAATGTGTCGCCTCCAAAGCGGTGTCCTTTCCGCATACAACTTTGGGCTCATCCATATTCCTTGGTTCTCTACATAGGTAAACGGGAGAAGGCAGTCACCAAAACTCTGTGGTTCTCCCTCGGGACAGACGCCTGCTGGTGCCACCAAAATGGCCGCTCCTGGCCAGAGTTGGTCCCTGGACTCTGAGTTGCTCTAGCTGAGCTGGAATCTCCTGCACACAGGCTCCCCCTTATGGAAACAAGGGACATTCCCAGTGACTTGGATATAACTGGGGACAAGATGCCCCACCCAGGCCAGATGCTGGGAAGGGCCCAGGCTGATGTCACCCAGCTTAGTGCCTGGAACCAGCTCCCCAGCCTCCTGGGCAGCTGGGTGCTTCAGGCTTGCAAAATGCCCCTGCCACCTCCCTGCATCTCCCTAGTATCCCATTGGAGGATGTATTCTTGATCCATACATAGTGGAATGTTGGTAAACACAGCAACAGAAGCTGACAGAGCTCTGCTGAGAACTGATGGTATTTACAATGGCCTTCTCAGGGAACCTTCTCTTGTCTAGACATCAAAAGGAAAGCGTTCTTTGTGTACACACACACACACACACACACACACACACACACACACACACACACCACATGCACAACAATGCAGAATTCTTCATTTCCTAGCATGGCTGAGCACTGCTTTCTAATCACAGAGCACAAGGCTGGTCCCACAGTATCTGTAAGCCTCAGTACCCCTTTCTATAAAACAGGTGCAGTGATGCTTACAACCAAGACACCTCCTACAAGGCTTGGGTCACATTCATCCACCCCTTTAGGTCCCCAGGAAATGTGGCAATCCTAGTGCTCACAGTGCTACAATTGGGCTGCACTATAACCTCGGTGGTCTTCGCTTACTCATCAATTTAGTCACTCAGATGCTGCTTACTAACTGTCCACCGTATGCCAGGCCCAGCCACCAGCAAACTCAAGAAAACTCAGCAGTTCTCCCTGTACTGCTGACAACTAGCCTGTAGACCCTGCAGACAGGAGAAACTTGGAAAATGTTGATGCAAACAGCAGGAAAGGGGCGGAGGGGACAAAGAGTGGCCGCTAGCTGTACCCACAGCCCCTTCCTCTGTAACCTCGACCTCTCTTACACACTCCTTTCACTGGACCTTCACCCACTCTCCAGCAAAATGGGGCTTAAGAAGAGGATTCTGGGTGAGGTGCTACCCTTTGACAGTCAAGCTTCCTCTGGGTCAAATAACAACATCCCTGATCCAGCAGACCCGTGTCTGTCCCCAAAACCCTCCTCCTCTATGGTACCCACAGGGTCATCTTGCCTGTCCTCCCTGACCCCAAGTTACTGCCCTTGTTCATGTAGACTTCCGCCAGTAAAGACCAGGCTCTGCTATCCAAGCCTTGGTTTCCGTTTCTGTAGCACGGCCTGGAGAAGGGCCCCCGGGGCTTGACTGAACATTCAAGCGTGAGGACTCTGAAGGAGCTCACCAGGACAGTGCCCCCTCAGCTTTCCACAGATAGGTGGCCTTGTCACTGGCATTGCTTTCCCAGGCAGTCCTGCAGTGAGGTGACCATGAGATGGATGGGAGGGGGTTAAAAAGGAGAAATCTTACTGTGGACTCACCTGGAAAGTGCCCAAAACTGAGCGCCATTGAGATGGGTAGAGTGACAAAGCATTGTGGGAGGTAAGGAGGGAGCCAAAGTGCTAAGGTGTGGCCACCTGAAGTCCAGCTGCATGCTTCTTATGAGAGGTCTAGACTCTTTCCTGTGGGATGGTACCCAGTGCAAGTTTGGGAGGAGCGAGAGGGTGAGGTAGGAGGATGGCTACCTCCGAGGTCACAGCCCGCTTTGAGCATCAACACGCCGG